AGGATGCCATCACTGAAAGGTTAAGAATCAGACCACTCATATGTTAACTTAAATGTTTAAAGGAGGGGCTGGGGTGTGCCTCGCTTGGTAGAGTGCTTGCTAATTAGCATACAGTCGATTTCACACACACACACCCCGTAGCATGTAAAACATGACACATGCCTGTAATCCTCACTCTTGAAAGGTAAAGAGAGATAGATCAGAAGTTCAGGTCTTTCTTGCCGTCGGTATCTCTTGTAGCCCGGGTTGGCCTCAGACTCATTATGTAGCTAAGGACAACCTTACGCTTCTGATCCTCCTGCCTCCACCCCCTCAGGACTGGGATTACAGGTGTGCACCACCACATCCAATTTATGAAATACTGGGGGTTGAACCTAGGATTTCCTGCATGCTAGGCAAGTACTCTACCGGCGAGCTACATCCTAGACATAAAAGCCTAATTTTAACAGTACAATGGGCTCCTTACCACTTTGTTCTGTGTGTGTTTTTAAAGTAGCTGTTAGTGACGAAGAAGGGGAATCACATTAAAGAACTTCCTTCAGTGCTAAAATAACTAAGCCAAACAAGTGTTCCGCTCTAAAGTACTTATTCACCCATTTGTTTTATGTAAGCACACATATAAATTTATGTATAATCCCTTAAGAGAGGCAGTCCAAATTCCCACTTCTGAATTTATTACCCTGGCCCTGCTAGCCTCCCTCGGCCATCACAGAAGTTAACAAAAGCAATTCTGTCCACTAGAGGGAACCCGGCTTATATTATTTCCTGAACAAATAAAAGCTGGAGAGAGAACAAAATAGGAAAACTGAGAGAGAAACCTCTGTGCACGTGCAGACTGTGCATGCTGAGCGCAGGTGACATGGGGATGAGGGCAGAGAAAATGCTGGAACTCCAGAGCGGGCTCTCTGCCAAAAAGGTTGCCTTAATATATGTAGGAGGAAAAGGCGATAAGGGGATGGAAGGAGGAAAGGGGGAATGATGTAATTATATTTTAATTCTAAAAACTTAAGAATTATTTCAAAAAATAAAAATTTTTAAATTAAAAAAAAAAATTAAGGTCTCTCCATGTCTTCAACTGCAAGTCCTATGAGCTGAGATTGTCATTTCTCTTGAGGTTAAAAATAACCCTGCTGTTAGAGCTATGAGCCTTGGCCTTAATGGCTAGGGTATCTTTCCTTCCCTAATTTTTATTTTTCTAAAAATAATTTTTAAAATACATCTTTCAAGCACGTCTTTCATCCCAGCATTCAGGGGACAGAGGAGGTGCATCTGTCTCTATGAAGTCAAGGCCAGCTTGGTCTACATAGTGAACTCCAGGACAGCCAGAACTACATAGAGGCCCTGTCTCAAAACAAAAACAATAAAAAATATCCTTCAAAATGTAGGGAATTGATATTTGAGTACATTAATGAATAAAACGATAAGCCTAAAAATGAAATAGATGAATGAACCGGAAGCTCCTGGACCAACCAGCCTGGAGGATGCTAAGCTTCAGAAGTAAGAGAAAAAGACCCTGAACAAGGCGGAGGGAGAGAACTTACTACCGAAAGCTGTCTTCTGACTTTACACACGCACCATGGAACAGACATGCCCACACCAGTGACTACACGATCATACACACACACACTCAACACACACACAATAAAAACAACAAAATAAAAAAAATATGTTAAGACAGGCTGGAGAGATGGCTCGGTGGGTAAGAGAACTTGCTATGAGATGCATGAGACCTGTGCATAGGCACAAATACGTTATCTCTCTCTCTCACACACACACACACAAACACACATTCAATCATTCATTAAAGCAAGCTAGGGGACAGTTACCCAGCATGCATAAGGCCCTTGATTCACTCCCTAGTACTGAAAAACAATAACTGGATTTGAAGTTCATTAAAGCAAGCCAAGTGGGTGGCTTGTGCCTGAAATCCCAGCACTTACAGATTGAAGCAGAAGGAAACCATGAGTCTGAGACCAGCCTGGCCTACGTGGTGAGTTTCTGTCTGCAAAGAGAGATTTGTCTCTAAAACTGGCAATAAATTTTAAAATAAATAAATAAAAATAAGGGCTGGAGAGATGGCTTGGCAGTTAGGAGCACTGTCTGTTCTTCCAGAGGTCCTGAGTTTAATTCCCAGCAACCACTCAGTGGCTTACAATCAACTATACTGGCATCTGATGCCCTCTTCTGGCATTCATGTATACATGCAGATAGAGTACTCATATACAGAAAATAAGTAAATCTTTAAAAAAATAAAAATAAGGTTTATTAAATCAACGCTCAGGGGAACTATAAATAAATGCTTTCAAGTCAGTTGTAAAACAAGCCCGAAGCCATTGATTATTAAACTGGCTCTTTATTTTCAAAATTCCCTCTTTTGTAGGGAAGAAACAACAGGTCTCAGTATGTAGCTTTGGCTAGCCTAGAACTCCTGATGTAGTCCAGGCTAGCCTCAAGACTCACATCAATCTGCTTGCCTCTACCTCCCTGAGTGCTGGTATTGAAAACATGCCTGGATAAAACATTATTTTACTTACAAAATAATGAAGGTTTACTGTAGAAATTGTAGAAAATGTAAATAAGCTTAGAAATATATATATATATGACAGGGTCTCACTGTGTAGCTCTGGCTGTCCCAGAACTCACTATGTAGACCAGGCTGGCCTGGAACTCACAGTTATCTGCCTGCCTCTACCTGCAGAGTATTGGGATTAAAGGTGTGCACTACCATACCCCAAAAATTATATCCAGACTGAACTGTAGCATATGTACTTGCAACCTTTTGTGGGTTTTGGTTGTTTTGTTTTTCTATGTGTAGCCATCAATACTTTTTGTTTGTTTTGTTTTGTTTGTTTGTTTGTTTTCCTTTTGGTATGGGGGTAGGTGGGTCCTGCAGAAGATCAAACTCAGGGCCTCTACCATGCAAGGCAAACTCTGAACCACTGACCTACAGCCCCAGCCCTTTTTTTTTTTTTTTTTTTTTTTTTTTTAAGAGGTCTTGCTTACATAGCCCTAGCTGACCTCAGACTCTGGACACTCCTACCTCAGCCTTCTAAATGCTGGATCCCTACATATATACATTCTTCTACGCAAATATACAAATATTAAACAACTTTAAACGGCTACATATTTCACTGTATGCACAATGCTGCAATTAATTCACTTAAACTTTAATTTTTGTCTTTGTTGTTCTGTTTTATTTTTTGAGATTGCATTTTTCTGTGCAGCCCTGGCTGTCCTGGAACCCTGTAGACCAAGCTGGCCTCAAACTCAGAGATCTGCCTGCCTTATTAAAGGCGTGTACCACCATGCCCAGCTCCTCTGTAAATGTTAAAGCAGGTCTTATACTGATGCTGTCGGCTGTGAAAAGCCCTTTAAGGAGGCCTCTCTTGCCATCCAGCTCCCTCCTTCCACCCTGTGTGTCCCGGGTCAGACACAGGTCATTACACGTCAAGACAGGTGTCTGCCATGCCATCTCACCTTACCCCTCTTCCTATCTGACATTATCAAAAAGCAGCTGTGACAGTGACTTCCTCAGATAAGTGACAGTGAAAACAGACCACCTATGCAACCTAAAAAAAAAAGAAAGAAAAAGAAACCAAAACTGACAGTGACCGGAGCTTTTCCACTGCAGGTACCCCAACTCCCTCCCTGGTCGCTGCACTTTACAGGGTCTATGGCCTCTTGTCTCTCACAGAATCCCCCCTCCCCTCGCTTCTCTCATGGGCATCTTTCCTATTCTAGCACACATCCTGACAGTGTAGGTGTTGGTGGGGGGGCTTCCCAAACGACCGTCAACCCCCAACTGGTATTTCAAAAACACATGGGCCTTTATTTTGACAAGTACATTCCTTTTACGGCAGAAACTGTGCCCAGCTCTACTTCCAGTGCTGGAAGCGCGCAGGCTGTTTCAATGTCCGGCTTATAAAAACCATGCATATTTTCCCTCGGCCTCCAAACTATGCGTTCTAAGGGTTAATGGCTTAATTCTTCATTATCTTCTCCATCCACATTCGTCACAAGACACCCTTCCCAGGAAGGCAAGAATGAGAGGTTATTGTTAAGAGAGAATGAATGACACAATGGAAGTTCTGTTCTTCTGACCTGACAATGCAACAAGGCAGGGTCTCTGGGACTAGGGAGGGCTCCTGCTAGCCTCCACCCAGCTTGGCACAGTTGCCACCTTCTGCTGCGTAAAACCAAACCTGGTTCAGGACCCTTGCATCCCAAACTCCTCACCCTCTGGAGTACAAGGGAATGGAGGCACACAAGCCAAGAAGCCATGTTCTCTGTAAACCCCTTAGGTTCAGTTCCTGGCCCACCTTCCTACCTCCATGGCATTTCATCATGACTGTCACAGAGGATGGTGAAGACTTCTCAAAGATCAGGGCCAGAGTGCACGGATGGCAGGAGGCAGGTGGATCACTGTGAGTTCAAGGCCAGTTTTACATAGGGAGTCTAAGACAGCCAGGGCTACACAGAGAACTGGATTGTTTGTTTGCTTGTTTGTTTTCAAGCAGGGTTTCCCCATGTAGCCTTGGCTTTATGTAGAGTAGGTTGGCCTTGAACTCATAAAGATCTGCCTGCCTCTGCCTCCCAAAAGCTGGGATTAAAGGTTTATACTACCACCACCTGTAGAGGTCTTGTCTTTATTTAAAAAAAAAATTAAAATTAAAATTAAAAAAAGGAGGAGAAAGAGAGAGGCAGAGGAGGGGTGGCGGGGAAGAAGGAATGAGGAGAGAGAGAGAGAGAGAGAGAGAGAGAGAGAGAGAGAAAACCACAGGAAAAAAACAGCTCCTCTGGATGTTCAAAGAGTTGTTCTACCCACCACCTTACAATAGGGCTTCTGAGTGGAGGAGTTTCTGGAAGTTGCTGGAGGTCAAAGGAAGGGCAAGGGTGTTTCTTTCCTCTCATTTACAACAAGTAAAGCAGGAACAGAAGTAATTTCAAAGCCAAGACGTGATTCCAGAGGACACCCCAGGTTCCCTAGAGCCAGAACTCACTCTGTGGCCACTACTTGGGGGATGGGTTCATCGAGGAGTTCCAGGCTGTGCAGGATCCAGTAGCAGAGCCAGGGGCGGCTGGCGTCCAGACACTGGGAGGGATGAGGAGAAAACACACCCTTTATTCAGCCATTCCAAGATCCCGTGACAAGGCTACATCTGTCTTAGTTCCTGAAGCCCAGCGAGGGGAGGAGGCATCCTGGCTTGGACAACAATCAGTAAATGAAGATGCTCTCAACTGTGACAAAAGGACAACAGGAAAGGAGTCTTGGTCCCTTCCCTGCAGGTGTCCAAGCAGAGAACATTCAGACTGGAAGTTAACCTCTGCTGATGTTTTCCCAGTGCAGACCCAAGGTAACATAATCTCGCAAAGACATCTCTTGAATTCACTCATTCACAGATTCAGCAAATATTTGGTATCTACTTGTGCCAAATATTACAGACTTTGGGGGCATGGTAATGATGGACGTTGATTCTGAGTCACGGGGTGCTCAGCACACAGAATAGCGGTGTGGCTATCTTAGAGGGAGAGGCAGCAGACACACGAGCGTAGGTTACCCCATGTCTTTCTGGAACAGGGTAAACACGTGTACATACACCTGGTAAGTGCTTTGAGCACCTGGAGGAGAGTGAGTGTCGGGAGACTGGGCAAAGTCTTCTGAAGGTGAGGTGTGGACAGACCTCCATCCTGATTCAAGTCAAACATGAGTATCACAAGCTCGGCAGAGCAGTACCAGTTATCAGTTCTTCAGGTTTAAAGAATTCAAACGAGGTCTACGGAGACTCATTTTTTTTTCCAGGTTATAAAAGAAGTAAATGTCAGAGTTGGGGTGTAGGCTGTGTTACTCAGGTTAACTATGAAACTTGGAAAACCCCTCTCATGCCCCCCCCAAAAAATCACATATAGAACTCTAAAATAAACAGCCCGTTAAAGGCAGCACTACCCTTTGTAAAGGGAGGCAGGGAGACGGTGGCTCTGCTGGCCACAGCCTTTTCTACCCCCACCACAGTTCCGAGATTCTTTGATGAATCTCCTAGCGCTCAGAATCATGCTTTAAGATTCACGAGCTGTTTAGTGCTCTCTGGAATTTAGGTACTGGTCCTCTGGCCAAGAGAGACACTGGATCAGCCCCCAGGGTCACAGTGTGGGGACCACAAGGTAAAACTGACTTTTAGCTACAGGTAAAGGGAGTCAGGAGAAGGCATGCTGTGATCAAATGATGAAGGAGTGTCCCAGCCCATCTACGGTGTTCTACGAGCTCTAGGGCCAACAGGGCTGGAGGAGACTTTTTTTTTTTTTCCAAGACAGGGTTTCTCTGCGTAATCCTGGCAGTCCTAGAACCAGCTCTGTAGACCAGGCTGGCCTCGAACTCAAGAGATTCACCTGCCTGCCTCTGCCTCCCCACTGCTGGGATTAAAGGCGTGCGCCATCACCTCTTTGCTGGAGGAGACTTTATTAAGAGTCCGGCTCTGAAACATCAGCCTGGTTCCTACCAGAGCCATGTGGTTCAATGGGCGCATCTGCAGCAGGTGAAAACCAACAGCCTTTGTGTTCAAAGAGGAGCACAGCCCGGTGCTTGACAGGAAGTTCCAGGGCAGGGTTTTACCTCATAGGCATCTGTCAGCTGTCGAAGGCCTCTTTTCAGATAATGGAAGTGCTTCTCCCTCTGCAAAATGAGCCTGGAAAGACAAAGAGCCTGTAAGCCCTCCTAATAGCTCCCGTTCCCACTACACACACACACACACACACACACACACACACACACACACACACACCTCTTCACATAATCACTAAGTGGATGCCTTGTAACTTAAGTTGGCACAAATGGCGACTACACCAGGGAAAAGAGGCGCGCATCTGAGTTCTCTGAGTGCCAGCACACTGTCCTGGCAGATGTCTGACAGAAAGCACTCTGTGAAGGAGGTGACTGCCCTGCACTGGGCACACTCTCCTGCTCTCCTGGGCACTAATAGTCTACTCAGAAAGCTCCTCCAGCTCCTAGGAACTGCCCATGCTGCAAGCAATCTAACTGAGAACCTTGCTGCTCCCACCACCACCATCCCTTCAGTCATTTCTTCTGGGACCACTTGACTGAGATCTGTACTTTGTCCCCTGCCTACCCCTTAGATGTCCATCTGCTACTCTGGCTCCAAAATTCCACCTCCCACATGCTGACCCACAGCCCTGGCCAGAGGATGCTTTTTGCATTGCACAGCCAGTCATACCCTTGGCATTGGGGTCAGCAATACTGGCTTTAAGATGGAATGTGCTGCCCGTGGCCACCTGCAAGGGCAAAGAGAGAGGCGGGACTTCTTGCTTAGTGTGGGAAAATGGCCTAATGTGGTTATGGAAGAAAGAAAAAAAAAAGGAAAGAATGTCCAGACGGTCACTGAGCCTGCTGACTACAGAAATAACAGGAAAGAGAACCATTCTCTTCTAGGTAGTCAATAAACAATTGTTTCTATAACTCCCACTGTTCTGTGCTCAGAACACATCACTCATGTGCTCTCTACCTCAGACGCCTCTCCTACCGCAGGAACAGAAATGCTATCTCAATGAAATAAATTAGAAAGGAATGGCGGTGGCATCCACCTGTTGTAATGCTAACACTCAGAAGGCAGGAGGGCTACAAGTTCAAGACCAGCCTACATAACCAGACCCTTCTCAGAAGAAAAAAAAAAAATCAGAGTGGTACTAGGAGATGGCGGGCGTCTGAAGAAGTGTTCATTAAGTCACTGAGAGGATTTGTAATGCCTTTCTCAAACGAGTGGGTGGCTTCCAACAGTCAGTTACACAGCGAGGCTGCTCCTCACTGTGTTTCTTCCTCATTCACCCCTTTGCCTTCTGAGCCGAAACAGAGCAAAGGCCCTCACAGAAGCCAAGTAGATGCTGCCAGGCTCCTCGGCTTCACAACCTCCAGAATCGCTAAGCAGAATGCACTCTAAGACATATTTGTATAATAATCTTCCCCAGTTCAGGTGACAGAAAAGAGGCTGATGCAGACGGGCACATATAGAGATGGGAATGTTTATCTACTGTCCAAGGTGGCAGATGATGCAGGAAGACTGGAGAAAAGAAGACCAACAACAGCAGTCAGTGACCTCAGCACTCGGGCAGAGGTCAGAACAGACTATAGAGACAGAAAACAGGTGCTACATGTGGTGTCGCAGGACTGTGATCCCAGTGCTAGAAGCAGAAAGATCCGGGGTTCAAGGTCTTCTTCTGCTATATAACAAGTTCAAGGCCAGCCTGAGCTACATAAGATTCTGTCTCAAAAAACAAAAAGGAGGAAGAGGGAACGGCCAGACTCAGTTTCTTTTTCAGGGGGTCCAATGGTCAGGACTCCTGTACAGGGAATGTCTTGCAAGGAGGTCCAGGATGGCTGTTCCCTACAGCTATGGTTCAGACAAGTAAAGGCAAGCAGAGCTTTGTCCAGTTATTGCTCTGAGCTGGTAAGAGCAGTAGGCTCTGAGTTCATGAGAAGGGAAAGGAGGTCAGAAATATCCTCTCCTACCGAGAGCAAGGTGCAGCATGAAATGGCCAGGCCAAAACCAAAGAGGATACCATGGCATATTTTACCTAATCTAGTTCAGAAGCTGAAGCCAAAGGACAAGGGAGTAGACAGAGAGAAGTCAGACTGGAGAGGAGCAGGACTTATGAGTTCATTAAGGGAGTTGTTTAAAGCCTAAAAGCAGGTTGGGCATGGTGGTGTACACACCTTTAATCCTAGCACTTGGTAAATCATTGTGAGTTCCAGGCCACCTTGGTCTATATAGCAAGTTCCAGGCTAGCCAGGGCTACAAAGTGTGACCCTGTCTCAAAACAAAAGAAAAAAAAAAAATCCTAAAAGCAAAGCTGGGTATAGGACCCCAGGCCTGTAAATCCAGTACTCAGAAAGCCTAGACGCAAGAGGAATGCTATCAGTTCAAGGCCAGCCCAGTCTACACAGCGTTCCAGGCCATCCTGAGAACTTGTCTCCAAAGCAAAACAAGTAAAACCTAAGAGCAAACGTGAGCCTGAAATACAATAAGGATGACCCCAAAAACATGCTAAGTGAAAGAAGCCACTTGCAAAATACCACATACTGTATGGTTCTACTTATATGAAATGTCTATAGAGGGATTTTCCTTAGAGACAGTACATAGATTAGTTGGTTGTCTAGAGTTTAGAAAGATGGATGAGCTGAGAGTGATGACCAAGGGTATCCTTCTAAGGGACAACGAAGTGCTCAAAAATTAACTATAACAGCTATACAACTCTGTAAATGTACTCAAACTGATGAATGATATACTTGAACTCAATGAATTATGTATGAATTATGATTCACTAAGTTATTTTCTTCAAAAATAAATAGGAAAAAAAACCTTTTTTTTTTTTTTGTTCCTTTCTTCTAAAAAGAAACAAAGCTGGATGTGGTGGTGTGTGCCTGTGATCCCAGCATTCAGGAGGCTGGTGCAGGGAGACAGCGAGTCCAAGACCAGGGAGTTCCAGACTTCCTGAGCTGGGAAAGCACTTGCCTGTGCAAGCCTGAGGACCGGAGTTCGAGCCCGGAAACCCGTGTAACAGCAGAAGGAGGCAGAAGGACAATCAATTCCAGCTGTCCTCTGACCTCCACGTGGGCCTATGCATGCACCAGACACACATATGGACAGTAATAACAAGCGAGTGAAAGTGATTTTAAAGGGAGTTACTGACATGGCTTAGGCAGCTAGTGCCGTGAACCTCCGGTAAGGAAGAATTCCATATTCTCAGAGACAGAAAGGAGGTGATGAGCGGATGTGTGACGCCAGCCAAGTCTAGGGGCTTGAAGCGGGGACAAACAGACAGAGGAAAGCATGTGGGATGGCAGCCTGTGATTTCTCAGGAATGAGGAACCCAGATCACAGAAGCTATAGACTGGCTGCTGTGGCGAGGGCGTTAGAGAATACATGAGATGAAGAAAGGGACTGGAAGCCAAGGAATATACAAAAAAAATTAGTGAAGCCAGTCAGCCAACATTTCCAAGTGACTTCTTGATTTTTTTTTTTTTTTTGAGACGGGGTTTCTCCATGTAGCCTTCGTTGTCTTGGAACTCAAGGTCTGCAGACCAGGCTGGCCTTGAACTCAGAAGTATTTTTTGTTGTTGTTGTTTTGTTTTTTAAAGACAGAGTCTCACTATGTAGTCCAGGTTGGCCTCAAACTCAAAATCTTTCTGCCTCAGCCAGAGGGCTTACATTACACTTGTGTACTCCCATGCCTGGCTTCCTTGCTGGGACTATTTAGGAAACAGCAGTGGGATGAGAGGAAGAACAGACTAGGCAGGGGAGCGAGAGAATCTGGTAAGCAGATTTCTGAAATAGCTCACGTGTCCTGGCTCAGACTGAGCAGGATGGAAACACAGGCCAGCACGGGCCTATGACAAGAGCGAGCGAGACCATTTATAAGGACCAACCAGCAGTGACTGGAGAAACACAAGCCACACAAAATCAAGCACAGTATTTGTTTTTATTTTTTTGAGACAGGGTTCCTCTGTGTAGCCCTGGCTACCATGGAACTCGCTTTTTAAAACAGGCTGGCTCAGAGATCCACCTGCTTCTGCTTCTGCTTCTGCTTCTGCTGGGATTATAGGCAGGTGCCACCACACATGGCATTGTTACCAAGCTGACTTAAACAACTAAATAAATCCTCCAAAAGTACAAAAACGAAGCTCAGTGAGACAGCTCAGCAAGAAAGAGCACCTGCCACCATGGCCTGATGACCTGAGTTCAATCCCTGGAACCCACATGGTGGGAGGACAGAACTGAGTCCTGCAAGTTGTCCTCTGACCTCCAAGCACCCATAGTATGCAAGTGCCCCATACACACACACACACACACACACACACACACACACACACACACACACCATAAATAAATGTAAAAGAATTTTTTTTTCAAACACTGAAATTCTAAGAAGTCTTCTTGTCTTTTCAACAATCCTTTTATTTGACTAGGGACTTTTCAGACACTAAGAAATCCACGCGCTCCAAGGCCAAAGCTTTTGGCCTCCAAAGGGCAAAAGATCAGCTTGCTAAAGAGGCAGGAACTGCCTGAACCCCACTGCTCAGGAACAGTAATAGAATAAAACCTCCATCAGCAACTCCTCTACCTCAGGTTGCTCCCTAGAGAAAGAACCTGAGCCAGCCAATGACAAGCACCCTCCTAAAATGCTCCCCTCTACCTTGGGCCTCACCCACAGACAGCCAGGCCCCAGGAGCCCTGCTGAGAGTGGGGGCTGCTGAGTTTGTCTAGCTGGGTCTATCTGAAAAACTTCAACCACATAAGCTGGAGGCAAAAGGTAGGGTTATGGGATTCGGGGAGAGATTATTTCCAATGACCATTTCCCCAAGCCAACTTCCTACTTCTTTTTTATCCATTTAACCATAAGCATATGTATGAGTGGATTGCTAGGTTGAGGTGTTCAGTTTATTTTGATAAATCACTTCACTGAAAGGCTACTGCTAGGAGCTAAATTGTGCCCTACCCCCTCACAATCAACGTTGCAATCTAAACTCATAGTGTGACAGTGTTTAGGCACTAGACCTTTAAGGAAGAATTTAAGGTTAAATGAGATCCTAAGGTTAAATGAGGCCCTATCCGATAAGACAGGTGCTTCCAGCAAGCAGAAGAATGATAGGGTATAGCTCAATGTGGACTGCACT